CTCTCTCTCTCTCTCTCTCTCTCTCCCTCCCCCCTCCCCCTCCCCCCTGCCCCCGTTCTCGGTATGTAAACAAGGCAACAAGGCATAAAATCGCTCGTCGTCGAATTCATTTATGCAAGCGCGCCGATGCATGTTAAGGAGAGAAGCGCGATGCCACGGAATCGGGACGACGCAGCTTCGTCGTAGACGTAGCGGCGGCTCGAACCGCGCGCGCAACAACGCAACAAAGGCAAAAGATGGAGAAGAAGGTAGCGTAAGAAGCGGTATCGCGTGCCAAGTCCTGCTGAGAGGAGGCAGATAGATCCGTTCGTATTAGCATAACTAGGCAACCAACTTCAACGCGAGCAAGAAACGATCGAAGAAGCGGACACCGCCCATTCCATTCGTCCCGCGATCGGCATCCTTAATCACCGCTCTTATTAACGAGCCGTTATATTCCGCGGCCCCCCCCCCCGCGCCGTTCATTCTTTCGTTTCCACGCGTCCCTCCCTCTCTTCCCCTCCCCCCCTCCTCCTTGCTCTCCTCGTCTCGCCTCGCGGCACGACAACAGGCGAGACGAATGGGATGGAAGGGAGAACGAAAGGAGGAATGAAAGAAATCGAATGAAATGGAAGAGAAACGAGGAGGAGGAGGAGGAGATGCGACAAAAAGAAGTAGAACCTGATACGGAGAAGCGGTGTCGTCACTCGAACGTAGGATAGGCTCGTGTTTCTCGTTCATCGTTATTGTTTAATTATAGATTTATTGGTCGGATCGGTGACGGTCGGAATGCCGATCGTAGTCCGAGGGAGTGGAGTTGGGTGGGAGGGGAAGGGCGAGCTCGCGCCAATTTGTCTTCTTCCGATATAAAAGCTGGTGGGATACACGGCTACAAAAGTATTTCGTGCATGAAAGTTTTATAGAGGAACGACGAGGCTCGAGCGAGCCGAGTTCTCCGGTTCGAGGCATAAATCAGAGCCGCGACGATCTATCGATTCGCTGTAAAGGACATAACCGGTGCCTCGATGGAAGACGTATAGGCCACCACGTTATATCGTAACGTTCGGTTGCATCACTCGCTCATTGAGAATCGCCCCATTCCCCCTTCGTTCCGCGATTGAACGTTGGACATTTTATGGGCCGCGATTAGCATTTCGCTCGATCGTAATGAAACGAACGCGATGTATAATTCAAAAATCTTGTATTTTCCGAAAGGCGGGATCGCTCGGGATAGAAATTATCGAGGAAAATGGAGCAAAACGGGAGGGGCGCGAGTTTATTTATCTATCCACGTGTCGAGGGTTGAGGAGAGCGGGTGGAGGAATAGAAAAGGACGGGGGCAGGGAATAGAACGAAAAGCAAGGAACGAGAATGGTGGAATCTAGGATGGATCCCCCTAGGAAGGTGGTGGGCACACAGGATAGTATTGTATATATAGGTAGGGATAGTTAGTTATTTCTTGTTTGCAATGTTGGCAACACGTTTTAGTGCCCATAGATGGCAGGGCGGCCCCTCAGTCAGTCGTGCCAACGCAAAAATCTCGCATTGATTGATCGGCTCGCAAACGGCAGAGGCAAGAAGGCTGATGGTATGAGCCGCGGAAAAGAGAAAGGGGAAGTGGAAAAGAAACGAGGGGAAGAGATGGTCGCGAGAGAAAGAGGCATGAGAACGGAGACAAGAAACGAATAAGATAAAGAAAGCACCGCGGAGGTTGACGTTGTTCCCGATGTACACGGGTTGAAAAAACGTCTGGAATGAAAGCCAGCAGATAGCGCCTTGTGGGCTTTTTAATATGTTCATAATACGAGCACGTTTTTGAAGAGAGTCTCTGCTGGTTGGACCACCTCCGGATCGTTCGGCCGCGCTTCTTCTGCTCCCTTTTCTCCGTGTTTCTCTCCCTTTCCTTCCTTCCTTCGTCCACGCACAGACGTTCTCGAACCGTTTCTTCGCGACGGAAACTAAACTCTTTTTGTCGAACCTGGGCCAGTGACATAAAATATGTCTCTGTTGCACTCGTAACTTCCTCGGCTTTTTACCTCCCCTCCGAGACCGAGTGTTTGCGCGGAATGTTGATGGCCCGTCATCGTCGCTTCGGATGGGATTATCGCGTGGCTCGCTCTTCCAGATTGACTCGAAACCTTTTTTTTCCTTTTTTTTTTTCTTTTTTCTTTTCTAAATCGAATCGAATCTCCATTTCCAATCGTGGTCGTGGTTCGTGCTACGTTCTTTTTAAATAAAATTCCGAATAACTTTTTCCTCTTCTCGCTATTTTAACACGCGCCTACCGTTTTATTACGCGGATCTCGTCGCGGCCAATATTTATCGGCCATCGGGTTTCTTCTTACGATTTCTTCCCCCCCCCCCCCAAATGAAATTCAAACACGTATCGATTGATAATGATCCCCGATGATCGTACGTACAACAGTTTCGATGTATGTACATATTAGAAATAGTGTTGACCGCAATTCGGTATTCGTAAATTGATACGATGAGTCATAATTAATATAATTCGGTTTACTCACCGTTCGAGTACAACAGATGCAGGCTATATTGAATGCCATTGTTCGTTTTCTGTCCTTCGGATTCCTACGAACAAACGTATTGAACAAACGTTAATGACAATAGTTTGCATCGTTTAAGAGAAAGAAAGAAAGAAAGAAAAAGAAAAAAAGAAAAAGAGAAAAATATAATTGGATCAAAGTATAAGATTAATGCGCGTTCAGCAATGAGGGATGATCACGTTCGGGGGATCGACGAATTCTCTCTAAATTCGTCCTCCTCGAAACGACGACGTCGTCATTTTCGATTATAACGTCCACCTCGATTCGTCGATCCATTAAAAATCGGTACGAGGGAATTTTCAGACTCGTCAAATCTCGTTAATCTCGGCAAATTGGGCTCGAATCGCGTTCGAAGGGTAATACGTTCGAAGGAACGGAGATGCCGCGCGTTCTTCACACCCCGTTCCATTTTAATTAAGTGCACCGTGACGCAACTCCGGCGCGCTCGCCTCTGCTCCACCTCACGCTAATTATTAATTTCTTGATGTGCCGGTAAGAGCCGTGCCATTACGTATGGCGTGCGATGCATAATTATCATCCTGCCCTGTTGACGAGTCATGCGTGCATCGCGCCATATGCCGCAGCCGCGGTAATGCATTTTCAACTATCTATCCCTCCAACACCCAGGGCTCAGCCAATCCCCCCTCCTGGCCACGACATTTACCCGTGCGTACAATCTTTTCGAGAACAACCAGCTCGATCGATACGAGCGAGAAATCAACGTAATTAATATCTCATAGGTCTATCGAATTTGCCGATACAAGAAAGATTCTCGGCCGTTACGATCAAATTTCCCCGGTTCCATCCCAATTAAAATCGTTATCGTTCGTTAAAACATTGATGAATCGCGATCGGTAAATAATGAAACGTATTAATTGTAAGTAATACGTAATACACACCGATATAATTATGCAAACGTGTATTCGAAAATATAGTCGATCGAAGCAATCGATGATAATCGTGGGATCGTTCTTCTTCCCTTTTCTTCTTCCACCCGTGTGTACGCATCGAGCGTGCTCTCTTTCACTCTGACACACCGCGACCATTAATCTTTAAATTCGCGAGCGCACGATGGACGCACGTTAATCAGGCGTTAATACACAGGCTCGATCCACGACTGCTTTTTAATTAAACACGAATAAAAAGCTGATAGGAGAAAAAAAGAACGAATGCCGGAGAGGCCCCTCCTCCTCCACCATTTATTTACGTAGGGCATCAGTTTCCGGGAACTGTATGTATGTTCCACCCGCTATTGCGACCCCTGCCACGCTCCATTTATATACACGTTTTGCATCGTCGGGTAAAAGACTTTTACCTATCGTCGAGTCTGTCGGAATGATCAGGCCCTCTTTGCTCGATACATTTCGATGCGCGTCGACTTGGAGTAGGCAAGCAAGCAAGCAAGCAGGGCAGACGCAAAACGGGGACTGATCTATGCTTACGGTGCACGACCCTAATTAATAGGGAGGCGATGCAACCGTCCTGCTCACGTGAATTATATATATAGACGTGTGCTCTTACGGGGAGAGGATGGAGGGAGGAGGAATGGAGATATCAAGATAACCCGATGCAAATCGAGCCGAAGGAATAGAAAGTACACACACTTGTCCCCGCTCACTCGCAAATGAGTTTTCAATGCTTTCTTTGTCACTTTGTTTCTCTACTACATTTGCATTTCAGCTCTTTGATCCAATTTAATTTTAAGCGGCATGTTAAACGCGCGAGAGATTGCGAGAGAAATTCGAGGGAGGAGTGTTGTAATTTCGAATAGGTGTAGAAAAAAATCTTCTTCGGATTCGTTAGATAAAATCGTTTGAGCGTCTCTTCGTCAACCGAGGCGTGGAAAAAAGACGAAAGACGAACGAAACTAAAGTGAAACGGAAAGGAAAGGAAAGAAAGGAAAAGAAAGGAGAAACGGAAGTGGTTAAATAGAGATTTGATCGATAGAGAGAGCAGCCATTCGAAATTCTAGATTCTACGATCTGTACGTACGCACACGTGTCACGGTAATTTATCCTTATATCGTGGATCTGGATTTCTGTCATGTATCTGACGTTTCGAGTGTTCTATGATATACACGGGTAATCGATTTACGATGTACAAACTCGTACTGGTTCGAGGCGCACGAGGTGGAAGGGATACGCGACCATTCGCGTGGTCGTCCGCACGATCTCTCTCTCTCTCTCTGTGTGTGCCAGTGCGGTTACAGCGATTTCTTTTGCGCAAGAATGAGCGTTAAATCGCGTGTGGCAGTCAGTTTTTCCTTAAACAGCTATACTAATTGACCAATAGAAAGTGGAGCTCTAACGATGACTGCGCTGTCAATCGTGTCCCGCTCGCAGATCGTTCGCACGGGGTCGCGACAACTTCGACTTCTCCGCGCGTCCTTTCAATTTCTATCCTTCCGATCTCTGTGATCGTCTCGATCATAACTCGATCATAATTCTACGTTTAATCGAATGATCATCCCTCGATCGACGGGATTTCACCGCTGCAAAAAAGCGCGGGAGAACCGGATGTCGGTGTTTGTGTGTTCGAATTACGAAAAAAAAAAGAGAGGAAAAAAAGGAAAGAAAAATTGTAACTTTCGCGTCTGTACAACTATATTTTGAATTATATCGGTTAATGCGTTAGACGCGTTTTCCTTTTTTCCGCGCGGATCGTTTCTCTTCGCGGATATAAATTATTTATTAATTTAAATGGCGCAAAAACTATTTAAGGAAATCGATATAGAAATGGATTGGAGACGGGATTAAAATGCTCGAGAGCTGCTGTTACGAATCAATCAGAGAGTAGGAAAACTGCATAGTTGAAAGGTAAATCTGCATTTACCGATTGATTGCTTTTTAATCAATGCATTCTCGGGGAGGAAAATGTAGAGGCTGAAAAGCACGTATTAATGACTTTATTTGCTGGAATTCTTGCATTACATTTCTTCGAACGCTATGAAAATACAATTAGATACGTCGTCGATATTCCAACGAATTCGAACTTCATGATTAACATTCCCCT